AAGAAACAGCTAAAGACAGCAGAAGTGTATGCACCAAAGCTGCAAATCCCAGCAGTGTGAGAAAATGGGGAGTATAAAATACAGCATAGTGAGAGAAAAATACACGAATCAAGAAACGAAGAAACCGATATGAAACGCATTACAAGAAAAGGCATAGCACTTTTACAGTAAAGAAAAAAAACCCCATACCCTGACAATTTAGAAATATGCATATCTTTAAGAAAATTAAAAAGTTAAAAGTGGCATACTGTCTTCTCCAAACAAATCATTGTATGAAACTGCACAGGAAATAAAAGGAAGAGTCCTTTTCCCACACTGGAAAAATGTGTTATCATAGATGCCCAGTACACACTCTTTATTAGCAATGTTAAGGGAAATACAAAATGTCGTTCAGAATAAAAAGGAACAAAGAATCTGGAACTTGAAAGCTATTTTCATAACTGAAGAGGTTACAGCACATGTAAGGAGGTTACTTTTGTCATTACCTAGAGTTTTGGGGTTTTAAAAAAATCTCTATTCTCGTGGGTAAATGCCACCATCAAAAAAACCCACAAAGAACCCAGATCTTGTCTGGGGGATATTGCTAAACATCGTAATTGCTTTTCAAAGTCAGCTGAAGATGCATCTAACCACGTAACTGTTCCTTTCATGAACACCCAGCCTTGGCAAACTGACCTGTTCTACTACTTCAAATAACCCATGAATGGGCGCATCTGACATTCATATAGAATTAAGTCCCTTCTTTGCCTTCCAGGCACAGGAATGCATTACAGCAAACAGCAGCTCAGATTTTTTTTTTTCCAGGAGCTATTAGGTTGGATAGATACTGCCCGTAGTTTGCTCTGCATAACCTGTTTCCAACAGCTGAGACCATCACAGTGCGCATTGAATCAGTCTGTGCTGTTCTAAGCTTTTTGGGGGCTTTCAAATAGCATATTTAAAACACAAACCACCCTCCATAAAGCCACTTGCCCTCCAAAATTTCTGTCCACACACAGCAAGCCTTAACTCTTCCAAAGAAGGACCTTTTTAAGTCCTTAGGCCTTAAACCAGTTTTACATACCACAATGGTTCCAGCTTCCTATAATCCTATAAAATCTATCTAGTATGCTTCAAGGGTTTTTAATATGTCCATGATCCTTTTTACAAAAGTTTTATCTTCTCTTAGTTGGAAATGCAGGAATAGAATACATGAGCAAAAAGACTAAGTAATGGCAACCAAAGTTGTAAATGTGTATTTATTTACTAATGGAAACAACCAAGTCAAATCACAGATAGCTATTTAATATCAGCAGTAAACACACCTGCATTTTAGTTGCTGTCTTGGTTTGAAAAGACAGGTGTCTGCTAAGGAAGGCAGGAGCTTTGTTTGAAATGGAAAAAATGTAAACCCCTCCTGCCTCCAAATCATTATAATTTTGAAATCAAGGGGCTCTCAGGCAAAGATATGGGAATAGGAATAACAGTTCTTTACTAGGAAAATTAAAATAAAAATGCAGCAGTACAAAAAATGCCCTGACAGAATCAGAATACAGCCTGACACCCTGTTGGTCAGGGCATTGGTAACAGATTAAATGGTGGCTGCCGTCCTTTTGGAGTGACAGATGTGGTTCTGTTGAAGCAATGATCCTGTAGAAGGCTGTAGTTTTACTCTGAAGGTCCAGTGGTGGTATAGATGGGTCCAGTCTTCCTCTCAGAAGCCAGTGGAGAAAGGCTGACTGTGGTGTTCCAAGTCTCAGATTACAGGCAAGTAGGAATGCTTGGCTCCTCCCCTGGGTGGAGCATCTCACAATGGGATGATGTAATTTTATCAGTCACACAGTGAGTATCAGTCACACAGTGAGACTCAATGGCCCATTAACAGAAGATATCCCCCAGTTATGAGGGATGGGTCATGGAAGAGATAAGGAACACTGGTTTTAACAGATGGCAAGGAATAGAATAGAATATAGACTAGACTAGACTAGACTAGGAGTAGAATAGAATAGAAAATACTTTTGGATAGATTTTTTAGTTTATTTATAGTCAGAGATACAATCTGCCCTGCTTTTTCTGTCTTGACTGATGATCTTTTTATGGAGGTGCTTCTTTCTTTTGGATATTCAGGTCACAATGTATATACAGATTTGCATAAGTCAAAGTCTTTATTCCATGAGGTACAGTACCCTGTGGCTTTAAAACTTTGTAAATTTGAAAGTACAACAGGAAGGTATAATAAAAGAATTGGGCATATACTTTTAAACTGTTATATGACATAAAGCTTGCTATATAAGCTTGACTATACTGAGCTACTAATAGCAAGAGAACTAACAGTGAGGCATATGAAGTCCCAGCAGAGGAATTCCTGTCTGGCTGTGCATCTGCAGTGCTAGCTGATTTGAGGAACCCCAAGCTACATCAGAGAGTCATAGAAACATTTATGTTGGAAAAGACCACCAAGATCACCAGGTCCAACCATTACTCTGCACTGCCAAGTCCATCACTAAACCTTGTCCCTCGGTATCACACATACAGATCTTGTGGCCGCACGATCCCTAGCCCCTGGTATGGCAACAGATGTGTGGACTGTCCCCAGAAAGCCGTGCAATCAGGGGTACAGCTGGCAAGTTTGTGGGTTGGAGTGGCACACTCTATGGCTTTTGGTGTCAGTGAAAGCACCCAGGACAGGGGTATAGGATGGAGAGGAGCCTTTGGTATGCATCCCAGAGAGCTTTGGCCCCCAAGGGGATCAGGGACCAAAGAGCCCCAACCAAATCTGTGCTTGGGATTTTATAGAGCAGCAACCAATGGGTGGGTAAAAGCAAGCAGCCAATGGGGAATCCAGGAAGGAGGAGCAAGGGGAGGGGATTACAATGCAGGGACCAACAGGGATGAGGGGGTGGAGAGGACTGGTCACATAGGCCAATGGGGCCTCAAGGGTTAAGGGATTGACAGGGCAGGGTCTAGAACAAAAGGGCAAGATTTACAATAATGGACAAAGGGGAACTTTAATATCATTGATGTTTGGGAAGACTGACAAAGACCATTCTGGAGCAAGGGGAAGGATACCAGGATGAGTGACACAAGAGAATGGTGGGGAGAATTTAAGAGAAACCATTCAATTTCAGGGGGAGAAAGGAATTTGGGGTCAACCATTGGTACAAACGATTAACATCAATTAACAATAAAAACACACCACCACATGATTGTTTCAATACCTCCAGGGATTGTGACAACCACTTCCATGAGCAGCCTGTTCCAATGCTCAGCAGCTCTTTCAGTGAAGGAATTTTTCCTAATCTCCAATCTAAACTTCCCCTGGCTCAATCTGAGGCCATTTCCTCTTGTCCTATCACTGTTCCTTCAGAGAAGAGACCAACTCCTACCTGACTACAGCATCCTTTCAGGTAGTTGTAGAGAGTGATAAGGGCATCCCTCAGCCTTCTCTTCTCCCAGCTAAACACCCCCAACTCCCATAGCCATTCCCCAAACAGCTTGTGCTCCAGACCCTTCCCCAGCACTGTTGCCCTTCTCTGGACATGATTCAGCACCTCCATGTCCTTCTTGTCATGAACAGAACTGAACAAAGGATTTGAGGTGCAGCCTCACCAGTGCCAAGTACAGGGGGACAAGCACTACCCTGGTCCTGCTGACCACACTATTGATGATACAGGCCAGGATGCCCTTGGCCTTCTTGGCCACCTGGGCACAGCTGGTTCATGTTCAGCTGGAAATGACCTGATGAGGTGGGAAGGTCTGGAAAGCACAGGCACCTCACAAGCATGGCTCTAAGTGAGAATGATCAGAAAACTAAGTGAACAAAGGAAGAAGGAAGGGAGGAATGGGCACAAGCAATAGGCATGAGTAGCTGAAAACATATAGTAACAGGAAACAGGTATGGTAAAAATGCCTTTAGAAAAGAGATCCACAGTATTAAAGCTTAGCCATTGAGCACAAATATATTCTCAACAGAGCACAGAGAATAAAACGAATTGATCTCAGACTTAATATGTTAAGAATTATAGAACTATACTGTGAAGTTATACTGGATACCACTTGCTATCCAGTAAAACTCATTAAAATAAAAGTTTTATCACTGAAGCTGCAGTGATCTATAATAATACAGCATTATGTAAAGTGGCACTGCTATCTTATTTATTTATTTATTAATTTTATATTGCTCATGAATAATGAGCAATACTTAGTACTTGAAACAGAACACAAATAAGATCTTTCTTGGACTCATAGTACCACTGAGCAGTAATTAGCCTATTTGCAAAAATTTCAATAAAAAAGGAGGAAAAAAGAGGTTCTGACTGACTTTACATATCCTGTACCACCACTAACCCAGACCAATCACCAGCTTCTGGAAAACACATCAGCAATTTTTTGGGGCAAATATATGTGTGAGGAGGGAAAAAAAGCCTCATTTAACACAGCTCAAGCATATCAGAAGTAGCACAGCTCTACCTCCATCATGTTTCAGGAAAACCACAAAACTCAGCTTAGATTGAAACAAGTTCATTCAGCAACTCTGTGCACTGTGGATAATTACTGCTTCTAAGAGCTTCAAAAACATTATGCTGTCATAATTGTTCTGTGACATATATCTTTTTCCCTTCTCTGCTTCTGTAACTTGCATTTCAGCGTCTTTTGCATTAAAAATCTGAGTAAAACAAAATTACTAATGCCATGGATTTCCAGTTGTGATGCTGTAATCTATTTTTCCTTTATCCTTGCAAGAATCACATTGTAGTAAACTACTGCTGGACTGGTGTGTTAAATTTCCACCTCCCTGTGCTTGCATATCTCCTTAAATTAAATAGATGCATCTTTTTTAGCTGAACTGCTGGTCTTCCACTGGGAATTCATAATTTGATTCACCCTTAATACACAAAGAGCATAAAAGCATAGGAAGCTAATGATTTCTGAACCTGGAACTGCAATCTTGTTTCCTTATTTTTGTTCCATGGATAATTCAAAGAAACTGGTTTACTTGATCAAAAAGTTTTGAACAAATGTTAAAATGGAAAAATTAGTCTAATTTCAAAAGCATTAATGCAAAGCAAATTGTTTGCCCTATTTAAACACTTGGGAAAATGCATTTACATATTGTTCCCTCCCATATTTTTTCTGTACTGTTTCCGAAACATCCAAGTCATAATCATATAATGTACAATCATACTGGGAGAGAGGAAATGCATACTGAATTTCAAAGTTTACTCATTAAAATTTGTTATTCAAGCTGAATACCTAGAGACAGGCAATACCCTCTGATGCTCCATCACCCTCATTGTAAAAAAAAAAAAAAATACAATAAAAAAAGAATCCTGATGTTCAACACAACTTCCTGTATTTCAGTTTGAGCCTGTTACCTCCAGTCTTGTCACTGAACACCACTGGTGCTGTCCTCTTTGCACCATCCTATCAGGTGTTTATAGACATTATCTCCCTGAGCCTTCTCCAGGCTCAGCAGTCCAAACACTCTCAACCTTTCCTCATAGGTGAGATGTTCCAGTCCTTTCATCATCCTTGGGGCCCTTTGCTGGACTCTCTCCAGTACATCCATGTCTCTCTCATACTGGGGTGCCCAGAACGGAATACAACACTCCAGGTGTGGCCTCACCAGTGCTGAGCAAAGTTTATCTTCCTTTAGTGTGTTAGCAGGACTTTATAGAAGTAGTATTACAGTAACTTACAAAAAAAATGAGAATACTGCATTCTGATAATATTTTAATGCAAGTTTTTTATATACTATAAAGCCTGTATCTGCCACTTGTGATGGAAACAGAAGCTATTAAGCTAGAAAGGGACAACAACATGTCAGAAACACTGTGATAAGGATCACTACGGGATAAAACACTGCTATAATTTTCATCATTTTTAAAGACAATGATAATGTCTTATACAACCCACACAAGTAGCATGTTGCCATACACCTTCCTACACTGCTTCCTGCATGAAATGTTCCCAACAGTGTCTTATGCTATTATAAATCAGCAGCAACCATTATAGCTCCCAGCACTATCAATCTACAGAGACACTACAAAAGTCACCTAACATTGTACCACCAGATGTTAGGGGAGATTTCATACATCAAGTTGAATGCACAGGTGTCACCTGGAATAATTTTTGTGAGAAGATTTTGCATACCATTTATATAATTGTTTCCTACAGTCATTAATACCTACCTGGGGTGGCTGGTTTCTCCTTATGATAGCAAGTTCGATGGTTTTTTGCACCAGACTTCACTGCGTAGCATACAATGAAATCATTAAAACAAGTATATTTACCAAGTATTTTACATTTTTGTGAAGGAAAGAGGCCCAGACTTTTCTAGAAGCTTTTAGCATGCACTTAGTACTGGATGACTTCTTAGCTAATTTGATGGTGTCCTTTGAGCTCTTGGAGTAACTTTGGGGTATTTCTCTTCCAAAAACTCTTAGCCAGTTTTAGCATTGCCACCAATTGCAGATGACAGAAAGGAAGTTGCATATCTCACCACAACACACGTGAACTTACCTGCTTAAGTTGATCTTATAAAGGCTCACATACATTTTGCAAAGGGACTCCCTCACAGTCACTGTGCAACATGCAGTGCACGACTTTCCTGTCTGCCTGGTCAACCGTTTCCCCTTGCAGCTCATAGTTACTCTGCTAATATTCCAGTACTTCATCTTAGGATATCTAGGAACATAAATACATGAAAGCAGCAGTTCTCAACTATTTTTTATGCCACATATATTTTTCTTTATCCTCTGGCAACTCTTGTTTGCCAAAACCCCTTCTGATCAACAGCTATGGAAAGCACAAAAACTTCAATCTTTTAAGACACTCCTGTGAGCAACAGTTGAAGGAACTCAAATTTTGTCCATGGCAGAAGCATTCTGAGTAAGCTGGAATGTAGACTATTTCTATAGTCTATTCTAACTATTTCTATTCTAACACATGTAAATCTATATTCATGATTTAGGAATGCATTTAGTGGCTGAGTTAGTCAGGGTTTTTTGTAAAAACAGCCAAGAAGCTCCGTTTGAAAGAACCGCCAAAGTTTATTATATACTACTTTACATCAGAGAAGAAAAAAAAAGGCACGCACAGTGTTTCTCAAATGGAATTCCAAACTTTTTCCAGTTTCATTGGCATCTAAATCACTATCAACTTCTTAAGTGAATTGAAGATTGTCCACATGGTCTCATGTGCAAGACTAGCTTATAGTGCTGCTGTTTTCTTTCCTTATATTATCTAGGGAATAAATATTTGTAGTGGTTCGATGATTAGCTTTCCCTCCTTGAAGTTTAATCATAAAAAAGTTATTCTAATATAATACCACTAAAAAACCCCAGTAGCATTTGTTCATTCAGAAGAGATACAGAAAGTGGGCAGAAGCTTCACCTGGGTTAACTGAAGAGCTGATTATGACCATTTTCACCTGTGCCATGACTGTCAATAAATGGTATCCCTGGTGGTCCAACTGCCAACACACATTTACCAGTCCTGAAGACAAGGATCATCCAGGAGCATTTCTTGAAATTAAAATGAGAATGGTAAGAAAGGTGTTCTGCACTGTTTACAGTGAAAACAAGTATATTCAGAGGATGGGAAAAACAGATGGGGGTGAGGGTTTCCTTGCTTTCTCTCTTTTGGGAATCAAGCTGAGAACTTGAAGAGTAATCCAATTAACTACACTCTTGAGACATAAACTAGGGAATAAGAGACAAGTACAGGCAGGTCCCAGCAGGACAGGAAGCCAAGAAGGTGTGATGAGCACATCAGAGGATAGAACAGTAGAAGACTGCAAAGTTAAACACCACCACTTGGTAAGTAACTCTGGTACTCTATGCTCACCTTGGGAAAATGAAAAAAACACACAAACAAACATACAGTACTTAAGAAAGGAGAAAAGAAGGAGCTAGGACTCCTAATTACCTTTTGTCCATAGCAGTCATGGCTATGATCTTCTAAAAGTTAACTGTTGACAAAGGGTAAAGCTACTCCACTCTTCTGCCTTGTGAATCATCTTCCCTTGCTTTGATACTGAAACTCATCTGGTCCCAGTCTCTAAAACTGATCAGGCAGAGAAGTGCTTTTAAAGAAAGACAGTTTGTTTTCTGCCAATTTATCTTCCTTAAACATCTCACTACATGATCAGACAAGTAAAAGTGATGGCGCAGGAGACAGACTGGGAAGACAAGTGTAGAGGGGACTGAAGGAAAAACATGAATTTTGGTTAACAGCTTGCTGTGAGGTTTACTTATCTGAAAGGTACTACCAGACTGCGACTTTAACACTGTCACTGGTTTCATTAATATTTTGGTCGGGATGAATATTGAAGGCATTTGCAGTACAGTGATTTGTGAGAAGCTCTTTTTATGGAGCGATGGAAGGAGGGAAGGAAGGAAGGCAACTGTTGCTTTGAAAATTTCTGAGAGAGTATTGGAATGAATATTAGTCAATATCTCAAGAGCAGATAAGAACTTTGTGGTTTACTCAGTTGTTTGAAATTCAGACTTGCCCTCATAAAACCTTTTTCTTCGAAGATGCAAATAAATGAAAAAAGAAAACTGACCAGCACTGTGTCAGATCTGACAATGGACTGAAGAAATTAAATGAATGATAGGATCAGTGATAAATAAACAAGGATTTTGAGCTGAACATGATTATGATGGTTAAGCATGATTGAAATAAAACATAAGCAACCCCTCCTTTGCTTAGTAAGTCTTCCTTAAAGATTCTCTCTTACTAACAAATTGATGTAAAACAGAGCTTATAGGAAAACACATAGTCCTTTCCTTGAAGAAATGTATCTTCTTATCCAGTACTCAAGAAAGAAAAGTATACTTTTAGTACACTACATACAAAACTCATCCCTTTTATACCCAACTTTCTTATGATAAATATTCTCCTTGTTGTTTACCTAAGACCAGAGCTTTGGTATATCACAACCAACATCATACTTCACATTTTCCGTGACTATATGAAGTACACACAGGGTAAAATATTACATGCATAAATCTAGAAAACAGTTTATTATTTTAAAAGACATATGCTGATATTTTGGTCATTTAAGAAGAATAACAGGCTATGATTTCATACTTCTAATATAAAATGTTCGCTATTTTCTGAAGTGCAAAGCAATAGGTACATATAATCTAGCTATCAATTCTACTTGTTCCAGAGCTCATAAAACTTCCATGTTAAATTATGCAAATGAAAGTTTTCATAGAAAATTTCATGTTACATTGTCAATCCATTAAAATTCTGTCCTCTGTTCTAGCCTTATAATTGATTACTTCGCTTACAAAAATTTGGTTCGAACAAATAAATATCAGTAAACACAGAAGGTTTAATCTGCTTCTCTTTCCCAGATTTGACCACTCTCTTCCACTTGGCTCTCCTTATCATAATTTCAGGTGAATTTAGGTTTTTTTTTTGTTTCCTTTCTCCAAAGAGAAAAGTTACTTCAATTCTTCATTCATGGGTTATAATTTATTTTCCTTGACTGTATCTAATGAACTTTACAAGCTGATGCTGACCAAATACTATGAGGAATTATGAAAAGACAAAGAAGATTGAAATCCATGCTTAGCATTTTCAGTAGATACATAAATAAAAAATACAAAAGATAATTGTTCCAAACTGAATTATTCTCCCTAGCTGAATCAGCAGGGTAAAATGATGCATCATAGATGGCAGAATCAAAGGCCCATTTGGAATGACTAAGAAAGAATAGAGCATTTAGAAAATGGCCTAATGAATTGATTTGAGCAATAGTACCTTATTCCTTCAAGAAATATATACACACTAATAGCTAGTCTGTGAATATATTTAGAAAATTACACAGAACTGCGTTTTGTCATTACTCGAAGACAAGTAGTATTTAATAATGAAGGTTTATAGTTAGGAAAAATTCTATTCTTATAGATTCTTACAGACTCTAATCTTATAGAATCAACATAAAAGAGGCATAAGTATTATTATGGCCCACATTCCCATCAGTAAAGCTTCTAATTAGTGTTTTAACTTAGATTTTTTTCTTACTGATACCAAGAGCAAACTCATCTTGATTTTCAGACTGACTTAATAGTAAGATATATTGCTATTTGGCTTGGAAAAGAATATATTGCAATTATAGGATAACACTTTTTTGAAGTATCTTTTTGTGTGAGAGGCATGCTTTAAAATTTCATGCTGAATAAAAGGAAAATAGAGTGATAAAAAGCATTGCTACATCCATAAAATAAATGCTAAAAATCAACATAGTTACTAGTTATTTTTTCTATGTTTTCTCCTGTTTTTTACAGTGGACCTTCTCTGCATTGGGACCCTCTTCTTACAGACTGTACTCACATAAAGCATCTTCCTTCTTCTTTTTTGCTCCTTCTTGAAAAGAAACACACATGCATGGATGCAAGGAGTCTGTATGGATGAACATGAACAAGGGGCTCCTGACAAAACCCAAACACAAGAATGTAGTTTAGCAGAGGTGGAAGCAAGAACAGGCAATCTAGAGGAATAATATAGAAATATTGTCTGAACGGAGATGGATATTCTAATAGTCTCAGCTTTAGTTAAGTCTTTAGACATTATCTCCCACAACAGTGTCATAGGCAAGCTGATGGAGTACAGACTAAACAAGTGTACAGCAAGGTGTACTGAGCATTAGCTGAACTGTCAGTCTCACAGGGTTGGGATCAGCAGCATGGAGTCCAGCTGTGGGCCTGTCAACAGCAATACATCTCAGGAGTCACTGCTGGAGCCAGTGCTGTTCAACTTCTTCATTACTGACCTGGATGAGGGAATGGGACCCTCAGCAAGTTCACAGATGTTCCAAGAGTTAGAGTTGTTGATACACCATCACTCCTGGATGACCTCAGTGGATTGAAGAAATAGTCAGGCATGAACCGTATCAAGTTCAACAAAGGGGAGAGCGAAGTCCTGTACCTGGGGAGAACCAACCCCATGCACCAGCTCGTGCTGAGGGATGACTTTGCAGAAAGCACCTGGGAGTCCTGATGGACAAGGTGGTTGTAAGCCAGCAATGTGCCCTTATCATAAAGGGCAAAAGCATCTTGGACAGCACTGGAAATAGCACTGCCAGCAGAATGAGCGGGGTCTTCTTTACCTCATGGGATCAGACTTGCTGAAAGAAAATCACACATGACATAATTTGCACTTTCTATTTCCCCTCAGGAACTTTATTGGAATTGTGACAAGGTGGAAGTACTGCCCTCTAGTTTTTCAGTCATCTCCTCTGTCCTTCATGGTCATGAGTCTTCAGTAGGCAGACGCTGGAGGTGATACAGATGATGCAGAAGTGAGAGTCCCCAGAAGAACAGTATGACTCTCCACTGCAAATGAGTTGTGTTTTACCAGATATGAAAGTTCAGTGATCATCAAGATCATTTCTGCCTTTTCTTCAGTATGGCTTGGCAGTGCCTTCTCATGTTTTCTTTCCTGCTTTGCTTTCAACATTCAAAAACTGAAGAAGTTAGAGAACTGTAGCACTTTTCTTCTGTGCCCTAAAATAAAATATTAACCTCAAAGAATACTTGAGGAATGTTCAGCTCTAAGGAGGCTTAGATTAGATGTTCTGCTATTTTTTATTTATAGCATATGTTCCTAGTGGCTGGAGATTCCCTTTTGAAAAATAAAATGAGGACATGGAAAGATTTTCTCACCACAGGTATTGCACTTATTCCCTCCCATAAATGCAAACTTGTGAACCTGCTGTGAGCTTCTTTATTCTAAATATTTATATTTGCAGACTAAAATGACAGGTAGTAGAATAAATTTTAGCATCCCAATGATTTTTTTTCTGGATTTGTTGCTGCTCCTCTGGAATATGGCAGAGCCACCAATATTCTTGTAGTGTACAGAGCTGTTTGAGTATTTAATTTTATACTGGAACATACAGGTTTGCATTTCAGGTGCTACTTTTTATGACTATTGCATACAATAGCCAATGCAGAATAGAAATTACAAAATTCTGCCAAAAAAACCCCCAAAAAAGGCAAGAAGCTGGCAGAATAAATTCAAGACAAATTTATCTCTTCTAAGAAGCAAAAAGCACCATTTACCCTAAAAACCACTCTGATATTGTTGTGTATGCTGATAAGAAGTTGCTGAGTTTTAAATAAACAGAATTCAACCATTTACATAGGCAGACCTTCAGGTGCAAGCTTCATTTTGCCACAAGATGAATTAACACAGAGACTGGGCATTAGAAAATCTCAAAAAAGTTATGAGATCATCAAGTTCAGTTGGTAAGAAATACTACACCAAAAATGGCATTTTTTCTTTTCTTCATCTTCCTTTTTCATCTACTGAAAAACGCTTTTTCCTTGGGATCGCCTCTGTTACCTGATGGTATTGTCGATGTTACCAGCATAAACACCCCCTTTGTTTTTTTTAATTTCAAGATGAAAAAGTAGTCTGTCCTGAAAAAGAGGCTTAAATTCACCACTAACCTATCTACTAGCACTAGATCCTGAGCTATCATCCTTACTATAGTAAAGAAAGAGGGTGGGTTGCTGTCAGTTGGAGTGAGTACACAAAATTAGGTGCTCTCACCAAAAAAGATATTAAAATCTTTGCCTAAGAAACACTTGGCTCATAGGAAGAATTCTTAACTCTCATACCAAGACCTATAGTCATGAAGGTTTTTAAGCAAGTGGTACTACCATAAAATTCTTTGCTGTCCCCTTCTTTCATAGATAGCTTCATAAATACTACATTTAATTTTTTTCTTTTTAATTTTAAATGTACATTTGAAAATGGTAATGAATCAGCATGCTGTATTTTCCTTCTCGTGCATGAAAATGTCCATGACTCTGTGGAAATTCAGATAATACAAGTCACAGAAAACTTGTTATTAAGAAATTAGTCAGAAACATAGGAAAAAGTCTTTCAGAAAAAGACTGATACTCCTCTGTCTGAATTCTTCCCTCTCCAAAAAATATGACATACTCAAATGCTCATTAACAGAAAAGAAAGACTATACTGACCAAAGTAGGAACAGAGGTGGAAGCAAGATCTCACTGAAACATATTTGCATTTGAAACTCTTGATGATGACTGAGATTTATGCATCTAAATTACAATTAAATAATGTTAAGGTTGTGAGTAACTCACAAGAGCAAAGAAATGTGCAATTAAAGGGAAAATATACCATATGTCCTTTGATATCTAGGCATATTGCAGTGCATTAAGGAAGTCATAAAAGAGACACCCTGTTGTGGTTATGTGTTCTGAGACATGTGGCACATTTCCATTGTAGCTATCTATTTCCTTGCTTGTATGCATCCGTGCCATTATTTAAATGTTGATTTTGAATGTGAATTTCCCTTTGCATGGTAAAAAACCCAAAGCTTCAGACTTGCCTTTTTCAATATTTCTTTCGATCTGTGGAAGTCCAAAACATTAAACAGATGAATGAAAAAACATCACGAATGGCAAAAAAATGGATTTAATTTAATCCTCAGACAAAATGAAGCGAAGGAGATAGTTTCAACAACTATGAGTGAATGATCTTTTATCTTCCCTCTAGAAAATGACGGAGTTAAATTTCAAACACTGTTCTCCTGTATTTTGCATGGAAATAGGAATGTAGGAACTAAAAAAAAATCATGTATTTAGTTTGAACCATTTGGGGAAATAAAATGGGAAATTACTCCTTTCATTTTAAGCTTCCTCACCTGTGGCATCCTGCAAGCCTATTTTTTTTTTTCCTCAACTCAAAAGCCAACCTGAAAGTGTGGAAGAACAAAATGGAACATTTATATTCTAAGAGTGTTTATGTGGCTGGCATCTAAACCACTTTGTCTCAAACACTGCGATCACCAAGATACCCCAGTGCAAAATACTTTATACACATGGGTTGGGTAACCAGAACATAACATTTGGGCATCACATGTGTGGAAAAACATTTTGTGGCGTTCCCAGTGTTCAGTGTATTTGATGGGAACATGTGTACTGTGCCTGCAGCCTTGGGATGCTTTCAGACACCTCACAAGTTCTCCAGGGACAAGTGTATGCTAAAAAAAAAGTCTTCCTAATTCTGTTACTAATTGGGTAGGAGATCGTTAGTTCTGATCACATACTGATTTGTCCATGGCCATCATGCATTCTTCATTTGTAGGGCTCTTTGCTGCTGTTTGTAGTAACTAAAAAAGTACCAATTTGAACACACAGGTACTACAACAGTTACTCTCTGAGTTCACTACAAGACCATGTAATAATAACCATATATATATACCATGAAACATATGAACTTTAGAAAAACAGTTTCTTCAAATCTTCCTATTTTTGGTTTCCTACAAGTATTATAGTGGTGACTATGATGATAATGATGATGATAATAAAGAGTGTAGCAGACAGAAAAAAATGGACCAAAATAGTCAAAAAAATGGACCACAGTGATGAGTGAAATGGTTAGAAATACAAAGTAATGGACACGGTGGCATTGCTCCATCTTAGCATAACCTACAGAGCAAGCACTGAGCCACAGATATTTCCTGGGGAAAAGCAAGCCAGATTAGCATCACATCAACTCCTAGTCCTGTATAATCTGAAGAGACAGGGCAGAAGAAGCGTCATTCTGGTAACAGAGCGCATCAGACCCAGGTGGTGAGCCCTTGGGAAGCGGGACGCTGTAGGAATGCAACAATAGCTTGGAGCCAGCAGCCTGGGGACAGGTTGTCAAGGGGAAAAATCAGGGGGTGATGGGCAGTCGCAGCATGATGTGGGTCATCACATGGGGCTGGGGACAGGAGCCAGCCTAGACCTAATCTGAGGAGACAGCATGCCAGTTGGGAAGCAGTCGCACAGCCATGGGGTGGCCATGGTTGCCACTGACAAATGTGGGCTGTGATCAAAAGGGCCAGCTAGGGCTGGAGGGAAGAGCCAGGGCCTTCCACCAGCAACAGCTGAGAAACAGAGCAAGTGAGTAAGGATCAAGATTCGTGTCTTGTGATGTGGGCTGTGGTATCCTGTCACCGGGTAGCCAGTGTCCTGCCAGCCACGGAAGCACACACACCTCGGCCAGCTGCAAGTTGGCTGAAGGCAAGGAATTCTGTACCCACAGCCTGTCGTGTGGCATTGGAATGCACACAGGCTGAGCAACGGGTGTGCCCAGGAAAAATCACGTTTAAAATGCTTTGGCTGGGGGCTTTCAATGTCCCTGTACCAATTGCTCCTTGCAGCTCTTCATTCTTGCAAAAACTGGCTTAGACTTTGCAAACTTGTTCATGAGGCTCTTCGGCGACACCGAGATTCCCTCCAGTGGCTGCACTGAAACAAATCAAGCCTGCTTTCAGCACTTTCAGCGTCTGTAATTTGTTTGATGTTGCAGCCGAACATCTTCTTGCTCTATTTCACTCTCACGGCAGCAAGCCGGTGATACTCACCGGTGAAAGCCGCCCCAAGCCCTTGGGCGGCCTGTTCCAGTGCTCTGCCACCCTCCATATAACAAAGTCCTTCCTCATGGCGAAGTGGAAACTTCTTGTATTTTACTTTATGGCCACTGCTCCTTGTCCTGTCGCTGGGCACCACTATCTTGGCACCATCCTTTGAGATGTTTACATGCATTAACGAATCGTCTCTTCTCTAGACTAACAGGGTCAGTTCCAGCAGTCTCTTCCGAGAGATGCTCCAGACTCCAAACCAAGTCCGCTCCACTCGCAGCGCCTCCCTTCAGCATCTCCAGTCCCGTCCCGCTCTGCCCCGCCCCGCGCTGCCGCCACAGCGGGCCGCTCGGGTGCAACCAACTGCGGCGCTGGGCAGCAGGGGGAGTAGAGACTGCCTCCTGGCACAGCCCAAACCTGTCCCCTGCAACGTGCGCGCCACAGCGCTGTCACCCCCCCAGCCGGCCGTACCACTTCCCTGCCATGAAGCGCGTCGGGCAGGAACGTACCAACACGGCGGAGGGAAAGGGGGTAGCCAAGAAAGGCGCGTAACAAGGCTGCGGGGGGGATCACTTTCGAAGCGGCTCAGTGTCGGCTCTCGGTCCAATTCTTCTGGCCAGGCCGTGCGGGGCGGCCACGGTCTCATCGAGGCGCCCCTTGGCCAGGGAAACAAGCAGGGAGAAGCCGCCGGTCCTCCTTAACCCCTTCCCCTGGCGAGATGGGGATGGGCCGTCCCACCGGGCGCGCGCCCCCGCCCCCCCCACGCACCGCCACTGCTGGGTCCGCGGG